TGTTTTAAATGACTTGCATGTTCTTAAATGGAGGCATGTTTTAAAACAATTAAAATCTCCAGTCGCTTAGCTACATTAATACATTAGTACGTGGAGTGGGAGGCGTGTAGTTTTTCATTAGTTTGTGGGGGTGGGGAAGCTATGCTGGCCTGCTTTTTCTCGTCTCCCCCAAAAATTCAGGTGAATTGAATTCTTGCCCGGAGAAGCTAAATTTGATTCAGTTTAATGTCTAAATACCACCCATTGGCCACCTGGGCTTAATCACCTAACTGCTCTCTGTATATATGTACAATTCCCATTTCCTTCAATGGAAGGGACAGGAAGTTATTTTCCCGTAATATAGCATATCCGCCTGCCACCTACGGGGCGTTTTTTTTTTGTTTTTTTTTTAAAAAATTTTGCAAGGCCTCCAAAGCTACCAGGAGGAACAAGGAGAGTTGGGGAAATTGTTCAAGTATTCCTCCGCAGGAATCGACCATATTTCTGCCGGCATTCCTGCCCTGAATTTTCAGAAAGAAGGGGAGGGGTCCCCAAAGCACCTGAACACAGGACAAGAAGTAGCTGAAGGAAACTTATCATGGAGAAATTCAGAACTAAAACTAAGAAGGAATTTCCTGACCAGAACAATTAATCAGTGTAACTTGCCTTCAGAAGTTGTGGATGTTCCATCACTAGAAGTTTTTAAGAAGAGACTGGACAACAACGCTTTGCCTAGAGGTTGTACTAGATTAGAAAATCTGCAAGGCCCTTCCAACTCTGCAATTCTGTTCTTCTCCAAATACCTCTAATAAAAGCAGTTTGAGGGGAATATCCCTGAAAAACGTATCTATCTCCTTTACACCCTTACAGAGACTGTGGTTTCATGCCTGGCTTGGCTTTTTCCAGTTCAGTTCAAGTGTGTTTAGGAGGTCCACCTGGCATAGGCGGAGGGAAATTTTAGTCTACGGAGGAGTTGAATTTATAGCATGCAAAGGAAGACGGAAGCCTACAGAGACTTTCAAACAACTGGAGCCTAATCACGTTAGGCACCGAAATTAAATTTATTGCGGATAATCCTAAAAAAGCTCAAAGAGAAGAGCTGGCCTGCCGCCTGCTGCGCACTTTCCAGCATCTCTGTTTCTTTCCCACAGTCCCCACTTACTTCCTCCTAGCACGAAAAGAGGAAAAGGCGACAGGATTAAAATACTACCCAACGCGCGGTTGAAACTGGCCTCCTCTTCTCGTGCTGCCAACCAGCGGGCAGTTCTTCTGACTAGTGGCACCACTATTTCTCAAATAAAAGAATTTTTTAAAAAATAAAAAGATTCTTGAGGGCGGGAGAAGTAGAAATGCAGCAGGAAAGACTTCTAACTCTTTGAAGCCATTCCCGGAATTGACTCTTGTTCTCTCTCTCTCTCTCTCTGACCTGCAACGCGTGCGTGCAAACACAGGCTGTTCACACACGCACGGATGCACCCTGACACGGACATACAGCTACTACCGCAGGGGGATCTATCTTCCAATGGCACTGCTCTCTTTCACGATTAGGACGGGAGATTCCGTTGAAACCAAAGGGCTGCGTCCCAAGTAGGAGCCAGCAGCGGCTGTAAGGCGGGAGAGGAAGGAAGGTCCTCCGAGTTTCAGGCGATCCAGGCTGACCCTTCTTCACCCGGCGGGATCCAGAAGGCTACGCAGCCCAAGGGCGGTGGGACTTAACCACCTCTGCAAAGCCTGGACTGTGTGGTCGGAGCTGTAGGCAGCCGGGAGGGAGAAGCCTTTGGAGAGGCCCAGAACAGACGGTTCAAGCCGAGATCGGAAGGCCTGCCAGGCAAACGCCAACCAACTCTTGAGGCTCGGACAGCCAGCCGCGTTTTCTGTCGGTTCGCGGCCGAGCAGTGTGGCAGGCCCAGGCCGGAGCCTGCCTGGGAGAGCCGTCTCTGGCGACCACCCTTCCCCACGAATAGGGCTTCCTTTCTGTGGCAG